TTGGATCTGTGTCAAGTAGACAGAGACAGCTAGTCACTTGAATCTTGAATGTGTGAATGGTATTAAAGAAAATGAAGGTGACTGCATTAATTTTCTTTGATACTTAGTTACGTCAGGTGTAACAGAGTTACTATGTTTTGGTCTAAATTTGAGACTTCCTACGAATTCTTTACCTTAGTGTGTAAATTCGGGGGGACCTAATGGTGAGGTAGGTCACCTGTTCAACACTGGCAGTGTGTAGCTCCTAGTAATCTAAAAATAGATGCATGGGAGTTGTTACTAATGGAAACTTAAACCTTTACTGCCTTTCAGGAGTGCCTAGGTCTGTCCTGATTTTTTAAATGAAAAGAAAATAAGAGATTAAGAGTGTTCACCCCAGAATATCTAAGGAAGTCTCCATGGAAACAGTGTACCTAGCCGTAAGAAGAAGTACTTTTGAGAGTAAATGGCTGACTGCTGAGCTGTGTTTGAAGTATAAATTATTAAATGAATAAAACCTTTATGAAAATAGATGTGCAATTACCTTCTGGGTACAGTACTCTGAAGTGAGTACTGGAATTTGGAATTACTGTGAAGAACGGAAGCTGTGCCTGTGTAGGCAGGATCCCAGGTCTGAACTTCTGCACCCTTTTCCTTGTCAGTGGAAGTGGGAAGCCGGTCCTGCAGAGCGCGGGCCGCGGCTGTGGAGGTGGATGGCAGGGAGAAGACCTTTCCCCCACCCCGTGTCCCGAGCCGAGGGTGCGCCTGCGGGAGCGCGGCAGCAGCAGGCACAGCCCTTCCTCGGCTCTGCCTGCCAGCGGCTTCTCCTGGGTGCCAGCGGCTGGCTGACCTCACCGGGAAGATGAAGGGCGTGTACAGAGTGGGGAGAGGCCGGGAGCTGGGACAGAAGGGATGCTGGCGCCGCAATGCGCGGGGGAAGCCTCAGCTGAAGTTAATGGAAGAACAGCATCTGCTCCGTGCTTGGGGCTGGGAGGAGCAATGCTGGTGGTCTGTCATTGTTGAAGATGTCCCTGCTCGTCACAGGGGAATTGGACTAGAGGGCTTTTAAAGGTCCCTTCCAAACTTTACTGTGTTTGTAATATACTCCTCTGTGGTCTGCATCTGTTTCCCCAGTGTTCTCTCTCTCATGTGTCCCTCAGCTGACAGCGCTTTGTCATTGCAAGCATGAGACAATAATACAGTTTTCTCATTAAGAGTTCAAAAAGATTTTCAGTTAAAATTAATATTTTTCTCTTCTTTAAAAAAAATCAAAATGTCCCAACCCCAACCAACATTTTTGAGAATTTATCTCAAAATCACGTTACAATTTTGCAATACTGGTATAAACTCTTTCAGCTCTACTTTTAATGAATTATTAGAGTAATTAAACTTAAGAGTTGTGTGTGAAGTTTTACAGACCTCACTAAGTTTATGGTATCATTGGTAAGTGTGGCATTGTTATGAATACAAATGCTGTGTAGCTTTTAGTTCTAGTTCACCAGCTTTATTCTCCCAACCTAAAATAAAGTTATTATTTGGGGTGGGGTTTTTTGTTTTTGTTTTTCTTTTTGGTTATGGTTTTTTTTTCCTTTTCCTTACTATCTATAGAATCATTATAATACCTCTGTTTAACTGAAAAAAAGTTGGTGATTTGTGTGTGTTTTTTGTTTTTCTCCCCATGCTGTTGCTGTAACTTCAAGAAGTTCTGTTTCAGTCCTAGGATACCCCCTCTGTTCAAAGCTATATAAAAATCAGAAGGATAGTATCCAGAGAGCATATATTAGATCAGAAATAGAATTTGACACTGGGAGATTATGTGAACATAGCAGTCAACACAGACACTAGTCTGTCTCCTTAATCAATAAAGATTGATTTCCTTCCTTTACTATGATGTGTATAGAAATAATAGTCAAAACACTTATTCTTCTAAATCACTCTTCAAATCATTTTACTATGAGGCAGCTTAATAGATGTTTGAACTACTTTCAGATACATAAGAATAAATAGCATGAAAATATATCATTTCAGAAAATGGAGATAGGTGCTGTAGTCCTTGGGAAGTAGAAACTCCCCTTTGCATCCTGAGAGGGGACCACTTAAAAGGATATGTAACTGAAGCCAAGCAGTTTGTGTTTGACACAATAAGGAATATGAGAAAAGCAAACATGGTCTAAGCAACAAGTTGGAAAGGGTTATTTTTGTAGTAGCTCTCAGAAGAGATGAAAACAGGAAAGGTGGCACAGCCATATAAAGTGTTTTCAGTTGTTACAAGATGACAGTCCAAAGGAGAATGTCATTTGTGTAGATGAGGAGGAAACTTAGCTGTGTTCCAAAAATAATAGAAAGCTTCATTTTAGCTTCCTGTGATTTAGAAAGATAAATTGAAGATCCTCCTCTGGCCTTGTGCCAGTGTTTCAGGTAATAGAGTGGTATTGTTTGTGATTAAGGAAATGAGACAAAAAGAGAATTTGTAGAAGGGGTATTCTTTTAAGTCATCTTATGCTAACAGCTGGATATCCATGAGGAGCTATCAGGTGTGTATGTTCAGGCTTTGGCCAATAAAACACAAGTCTCTACACAATGCTAATGTTCTCTCTTAAATTTCATATATATGTGTATATATTCTCATGTTAAAAAGAGAGGAGTTCCTTTTTTCTGCAAACCTGCTCCATCACAGGCATCTCACAGGGCCACATCCTCCTTCAGGCATCCACCTTCTCCATGGGGTGGATCTCTTCTCCATTGTGGATTCACTCACAGGTCACAGACCATTCAACTCAAGTTCAGACTGAAGTTCCAGCCTGTACAGTACAGCAGGACAGGAACAGCAGCCACCACACTCTGGCCACCTGCCATCCCTTGGAGCTACATCTGAGTGGCTGTTAATCAAAGCATTCCCAGGCACAATACAGTAAGGTCATAAAGCAAAATACAGTAAGCAAAGGCAAAATGTGCCCACTAAAATGCAGTAGATTCAAAATACAGTCACAAAAGTGAGCCCCATGGCAAGAGACAGGAGCCTGCTCATTACTAGCTAAACAGCACTAGCAAATAAAATTCAGTCTAGTATATCCCAGAATCATTAATTCTTGAAACTTGTTAGCTAAAATACACATTGACTAAAATCAGGGAAGCTTTGAAGCATAAAACTTGAAATTAAATTCAATCTTTTAATGGAGCAAAAATTAATTATTTCCTTCACAGTCCCTATGCTAAAGCTATTAACAGAAAATAAAAATCGAAGAGCCAACTCTCAAAATCCGTCAACAAACAAAAACCCACCTCACCTTTTGGACAAAACTAGAATCTTTCTCATATGGTAAGATCTAGTTAAAACATGTACATTCAATTTCTTACCAAACACTTTCCTTTTCCCTTAAACTGTAGAGTTGGAGGATATAGGTTTCTCTGAATTGCTATTAGTGGAGAACATGAGAAAGGACTGGTTCCATTTGAAGCAAAGGAGTTCTAGAGATTTCCCAACATCATCTATTGCTGTAGGCAAACTTCCATGTGGTTGTGGGGTAAAGAAGAAATCTGTAAGTAGGAATACTTCCATGTTTTTCTTAACTTGCAAGAATTTTTCCCTGAATACTAGTACTTTATTTTCATAAGTTTACTGTGTGTGCTGCACATCTTGCATTAGATGTTGAGGATGGCATTTCAACATTTCCAGAATTTGCTCTACCATCTTCAAATTGCTGAATAAGATCCTATGTTCTCTGGCTCTCATGTTCAGGTTGTTTTCCCCAGTGGTATTTTTCAGTATCTTGAAAAAGACTATGTAACTGAATGACAAGGGGTTCACTGCCTAATACTAGCTTCCATACAAGACGTTGCAATTTATTTTTTATTTATTTACTTTAATCTAAACCAAATATTTTTATTTGCACTAGGACTCACTGTTTTCTTCCCTCCCTCCCCCCTTTTTTCATGGGGGCCTAAGGTGGCTTTTGCTGTAGTGTGCTTTATCAAGAAGATTGTAGCCTGTCATCTGTGTACACTCTTTATACATCAATGTATAAGAAAAGCACAACAAATTCTGTTAAAGGACATTTCATATAATCTGCATTGGAGCTTGCTGACAGAAGGAAGTTGCCAAGCCTAGGAGTACAGATGATTGAGAAATACTAGTCCTGTCCCCTTCTTATGAGCTGTCATTCAGTAGACTGGATAATGACATTGTTTTATTGCTTTGCTCAGTAGTGGTAGATCTCTTGTGCAAATTTTAATAACTTATGTTTCGGTTTGTTAACTGTATTTAAATGAAAGTGTGGAATAATCCACACTTAGAACTGGCTTTGCAGTCTTGTGTTGAAATTGCTGACACGGATTAAAGATTTCTTTTAAATTGAAAGCCTTATGTTTTACAGTGCAGAATGACCACTTGCAGCCTCGAAGCACACTTAAGAAAAATTTCTGGCTGTCAGGGGTAAGATGTGACATTTAAAATTTGTGCGTGGAGAAAATTCTTGATTTTGGCATTAAGGAAGCTGTTCTTAAAGATAACCTGATGCCTCCCAGATGCTTCCTTGGCTGCTCTAACAGCTTGTAGACAGGACAGGAGTTTGTAAATTGGTCCCGTGTCACGTTTGCCTCAGGAAACTGAAACTTCCGAAGATGCCCTGAAGACTGCCGAATGCTTGGAAACTTTCGTCAGAAAAACAAAAGCTTGGCATTTCAAGCCAAACTGAACGGCGTACCTTACTGACAGTGTTAAACTTGTTGGTAGGAGTTCCCCAAAGCGCTGTAAGTTTTTTTTTTCGTGTTTTTGGGTGGAAATTGCTCCCCTACCATGCCAGCGCTTCCTTTGCCTTTCGTTTTCCCCTCCGCAGCCCGCACTCCCCGCACCCCAGGTGTCCGTGGTAGGGCGGGGATATCTCCTCCCGGCCCCGGCCCAGACAGGGCAGCGCCCTCCCGCTGCCGCCCTGGGCGTGGGGCCCCTCCTCGGGCGGGGGCGGGGGCCGGGCCGGGGGAGGGTCCCGGCGGGGCGGCGGGCGGCGCCTCCCCCGCGGCTGCTCTCGGGGCGCCTCGGCCGCGTCCCTGCGGCAGCTGGCGGCGGTCGCGGGCCATGGGGGCCAAGAGCCTCTGCCTCGGTGTCCTGACCGTCGCCGTCCTGCTCCTGGCCGCCGCCTCGCAGGGTGCGGAGCCGCCGCCGAGCTGCGAGGCGGTCCGGAAAGTTTTCCAGCTGCGGCGGCTCGGCCCGCTCGGCGGCGTCCCGGAGTTCCCGCGGGCAGGTAAGGCAGAGCTGGATGGAGCAGGAGGCACCGGGAACGGCGCGGCCGCCGCGTTTGAATCCGGTGCCGCTGGCTGCGATGGGTGGGTGGTGCTGGTGGCCGGGCTGGGCACCGCGGGCACATCGGGTCCCCCGATTCACAGCGACATCGCGGCTGGCCCCTTAAACAGAGAAAACGCTCTTCCCGGGCCGTGGGCAGTGGGGTACCCCGACACCTGCCTAAAACCCCCCTGTGCCCACCCACTTCCCCTCCGTACCGCGCAGAGCAGAGCGAGCCGGCTTCAGCTGGGGTCATCCTGCTTGCAGGCGGCCGTGGGCAGGCACCGTCCGGCGGTGCGAGCCCTGGGGGCTGGGGACCGCCACCGAACCGCGCTGGGGCTGCCGGAGCCGCTCTGCTGTGCTGTGACAGTGGCTGACACCGCGGCCGGTGGTCGGGCTGCGCGTTTTCCGTACGGATATCTGCCTGTCACTGGAACGTAATGGAATAAAATTCCCGGGAAAGTAGAGTCTTCATGGCAATTTGAGTATATCTAGCGTTTGTAACAGCAGTTAATTTTTTTTTTAAAGTAGATGCTGAATGACATTGCAAAGCACGTATACAGTAAGGTGTATGGTTTTAGGTTTGAGGTTTTGGTTCCAGGTTTGTGAGAACCTCAGTTGAACTCAGAGGATTAAAATGCAAGTATTTTAGTGATCAGCGGTATAGGATGTAAAACCAACTTTTTTTTACACATCTTTAAGGTATGTTCATGTTTGGCTGACAGGTTAACTAGTAAATGTGAATCAGTGCTTTTTAGACAGAGAATGCAACAAAGGCTGAGTTAATGTCCCCCTCACTTTAAAATATCAATAACTAACTTCATTGGGTTTTTTAAGATAATTTGTGTGGTTTTTATTAACTCTGCAAGTTGAGATAAGGCATACTAAGTTTATTTTAAAGGAATCCCTCCAAAATAGAACTTCTAATAACTCTAGCTTTAAATGTGACAGATAATGCTTGACACAGTCAATATTGCATTGTGTAGTTTATAAATTGGAGTACTATATTTATTAACAGTACATTTATCAACATGCATGTCTTCTTGCATTGTCCTAACCTAAAGATTTTATAATTGTCTTTGATAAAAAGAAAATAAACACTTCAGTTGGAAAGCCTGATGAGACAGGTACTGTTCAAATGGAGATGTCTGGAAAGTGAAATCTGAGTTACACTCCTGTCGGCGATTTAGTTTTTCTGTGCTATTTATGTGAATAATCTCAGTATGAATGATATGGTATCACTTTATCTATGTTCTTCTCATTCCATAGCCTAGTGTAAATTTTATGCTTTCTCTGTTATTGTTTATTTTGATTGCTATACTTTGTTTGTGTACCGGGGGTAGGGAGGAAATAATGTTGACTCAAGAGAAAAGAACTATAGTGCTTTATATAGGTTTCTTCTGGTCTGCTTCTCTGATTTCCTCCTTTCCCCTATCATATTTTTTATACCACCACTCCCTTTCTTCTTTTGATTTTGACTTTTCTGCATTTCCTGTTCATAGTAAAAACCATGTTTGAATTGTACGAATCTAAAAGAATTCCTTTCTCTGCTGCTGCCCTTGCAAACAGTGAGCAGCAGGAGGTGTGGTACAGCTGTATGGTCAGCAGCCTTTCACTCTTTGAAGGAATTACATTGCTGTGGGTGCCAGAGTTCTTGTTCTAAGAACTCTGTTGAGCTATCATGAAACAAATAATTGCAAACAGGAAAATCTGTCCAGAAGTGCAATGACAAGAAAATGGGGATTAAATGAGTATTTTAGAAGGTTTAGGTGTGATTAAAGGTATTAGTAGGCTCAAAGCGTAATGTGAAATGTCAGTTTTTGCTCCTGATTAAGCAAAAACTATTAAGCCTTCTTTTGAAGCAAGATGTAAAAATACTTTAAAACCTTTTCTGATGACACTAAGAAATGTGTCTGTGTGTAAGATGCACACATGTGCCTATACAACACACACATTTCTTGTAGGTGTCGCCTTACGAAAATAGGTGTCCTAGCTGCCTTTGCAAGGTTTAATTTTGGTGCTGAAATGTGGGCATCTAGCAGCATTTTAATTATCTTAGGGTTTCCATAATGTTCCCAGTGGTGCTGACAGATGCAGTAACTCTGGGAAACTTACATCTTTCTGGTAGTGGAAGCTTACATCTTTCTAGAAGTGCAGTGTGCAGTGGGTGGGATACCTTTGGCATCTCAGGTGCTCCTTGTGGGCACAGCCACCATGGACAGCCAGTGCAGCTTGTGGCATCTTGGAGCTACGCCATTATCAAATGTTGCTGTTGTCTTCAGAGTAAGTTGCATAAATGCCTCTACTGCATTGCCTCTCTGTCTTTATTTTAGTGGTGCTGTAGACATAACTTAAGAACACTTTCATTTAAATGTCTTAAGCTGAGTCTTTGGGGTAGGGCATGATCACCAGCTGAAGAACAGCAGGAATGCTGGTTGACATATGGTTTTGTATGCAATAGAAGTCAATAAAATTACAGGGTTTATATTTGCCTTGTTTTCGTTGCATGTATAAAAAAAGGCTGTACCATTCCCATTCTTTTCTCTTCTCAGTAGGAATAAAACCAGCAGCCTTATATCAGTAAATAATGTAAATTCTAGTTCTGGAGATTGTCATGTGTTTGTATTTTGAATATATGTTAACTCAAAAACCTATACATTATTTTATATAATTAGTTTTGCAGCTGTGTAGAGGTTGGGTATCCTTAAGGGAGAAAAAAAATACCTCTGTCATCCTATGCAGAAATGACATGTATATGTACATAAAAGTGATCTTGAAGGATATGGAAACTACAAATTTGAGTTCATGTTATCATCCACATAGGACAGGATATAGTGTTGAAAATGGCAACTAATAATCAAGATATATATATATTTTTTACCACTCTCAAGATACTTATTGCTACCCCTTGCAAACAAGACATTTGACTAACTGTTCTTGGTCTTTTGTACATGTGTTTTGGGAACTATAATGCAAACTTATGCTCAGCCCCATCACATGCTATATTGGAACATTAATTGCCTTCATGCTAATTTCAAGTGTTAGTTGCAAAAATACTTTGTTTTTTTTCCTGGCTGGTTCTGTGCTACAAGAATATTTTTGATGGGACTGTACAGAATAACCTCAGTAATTAAAAATCCTGAAAGACACTTTTTTGCTGTATGAAGAATTAAATCAATATAAAAAGTACTCAAAGGTTAGGTCTGGAGTTTTTTATTTTGTTTTTGTGATATGTATGGATATTGGATTACAATATGTCATATTGTAATCCAATATGACTTGGATTATTAAAAAAAAAGAAATTGTCTGCAAAATACTTTTTAGCGTATTTTTATTTCCTATGTTCAAGATATTGTATATCCTTTCTGGTATTGTAACTCAAGATTTTTTGAAGATTTCCACTCTTTTTCCCTATATGCTAGTAAATCTAGAGTTTTTAGCTAATTTCAGCAGCTCTTTTTTCCCCAGACAGATTAAATGGGAGCTCTGAGCTCTTCTTGTTATCTTGGTTGCAAATAATATTTATTTTTTGGTTTCTTTCTCTCAGAATACCTAGAACAGAGAAGTTGTGTATCCCCAATCCCTGGAAGTGGTCAAGGCCAGGCATGATAGGGCTTTGAAAAACCTTATCTAATGAAATATGTCCCTGCCCATGGTGGAGGGTTGAAACTAGATATTCTGTAAGGGCCTTCCAACCCAGACCATTCTATAGTCCGATTTTAGCAACAGCAGAGTAGGATGGCTGGTGAACATTCCACTCTTGCCTTCCTAACTGAAAGCCTCCTGTAGGCATGTCAGGGAAAAAAAAATCAGGCTTCTCTTTGCACCAAAAAGCTGAATTTTGTGGCTTATTGAAAAATATTACATTTACTGTCACTGTAGAATCAAACAATTCCTAATGAAGTGGGGAGGAAAAAGTGCTGGAGATATTTTTTCTCAGCAGTTTGATTTTGGTTGTTTTCTGTTTGTTTGCTTTTTTGGTTTTGAGTTGGTTTATTTTTTTCAGGGATCAATCTAGGCTTCTTTTCAGCAAACACTGGGAGATCATATGTGCAATTATGAGAACAAGAAACATAAAAGAGAGTGAAGATTGTGATTATTTAAAATTTTACTGCAAAGGCTTTTTGGTAGAGAACCATTATGAATATGAAGTTGAATAAATGAGAAAAACCATGCTGGAAAGATGAGATAATGTCAGAAAAAGTTTTTCTGTGGTACTGTTGTTAATTCAAGTTAAAATATTCTTGCTAATTCCCCTTAAAGTAACAATAGAAGTCAGTTTAAAATCCAGCAGGTTACTTTAATGCAATTCCAAGATCATATTTGAATTTTAATTTGGGTTTCTAGTATAATTTACATTCCAGTAATTTGGATTTTGGTTCTACCTCAAGTCAAATTAAATTTTTTGGCTTTTGTTGTATGGAGGCAGAGACATTTCCAATTACTGTATTTGTTTAACAGACATTTAGAGCTCTGGAATATGATTTAGTTAGAGACAGAAAGTGAATTGCTCTGTCAAATCAGTTACTGATGTTCCTTATATCACATCTGTTTTTGTAAGGACTGTTGCCAACAACATAATTTTGTGTGTGTGTGAACATTTCACCTCTGGATTCACAAAATGATCACTGTGAAAAGAAATTTGACAATACTTTGAGATTAAAATCAGCAAAAAAGTGGACTCAGCTCTGTAGCAGTTCCCCTGTCTCAGTGTCCTATCTTTCAGCTTCTCCATGAAGTCACCAGTGCTCAGTAGTATTGACCTGGCTGGATTGGCCTGAAAGGTGGTGCAGCTCAAGGAGTGCCTCCTGGCTCTCACACCGAGTGGAGCAGACCAGGGTTATGTCTACACTGTTTAAGGCTGGTGTCCTGTAGAAGGAATGGACTTTTGTAATGCCAACTCGCTGTGGCATTCAAGCAGTCTGAAAATAGGAGGGCTTTTGGACAGGATGACATGTTTTGTTCTGTGAACTGTAGCGTGGGTGTATAAAGGGATGGTTTCACCTTACTGGAGTGATGCTTAGTAGGCAGGAAGATGAGCTTGGAGTGTATAAGGAAGGAGCCAAACTTGTACTACAGTGTTGTCTGGAGTGCCCTTTGAAAGCAGTATAGAATTCACCATCTCTTGAAGTGCAGGTGAGAGAAAGACTGACTCCTGCTGAAGAGAGCCACAGAAAAAAGTGAGATGATGGTTCAACAGTGATAGTCAGGGCCGGGTGCTTGACGCTGATCCCCATCTTTTTTACTGAGCCAAGCTGAAGTACTTTACAACAATCGTAGTGATAGCAAGTAGTGCTAAATCTGGAGTGGTGCTTGTAACAAAAATAAGTTAATAAATATTAAAGGATAAGCATGAGAAGGACTTAGGTCTGATACAGGCTCCAAATCCATTTTGAAATAAACCACTGATTTCACAATTGCATCCAAGCCATATGGCATTTCAGTGCTGGCTTTTGAAAGACTGTTTGTCATGACAATTCTAATGTTTTGGGATTTTTCAGACCCTGGATGTGATCTCTTGGAAGTCTAAATAGACAGGCAGAAATTTACCACAGATCTGGCATTTGCTCTTCCTGGCAGTTGATGGCCTCATCCTGTCAGCATTTGTTTATCGCAAGGTAATGTAAATACAGATTTGTACAGCTGAGACCATGATTAAAAGTTTGAAATCAGTTCCAGACAGATAAACCTGCAGCTTAGAACAATTATGTTTTTCTTCCCAAACTGTCTTTCCTAGACTCCGATTATTTTCAGTTCTAAAAGCTTTCTTGTACCATAACTGTTTACTTCAATATATTTTTATTACAGGCTAAGGTATTTCACTTCCAGTTGTCTTGTAATCCTGTTTCAAAGTGGATCACGATGTAGAGTCATCAGAATTTGGTACTGAAAAGAGCCAATATGCCCTTTTGGAATAGAAAGTGTTTTCTCCCTTTATTTCAAAATTGGTTATTGATAAAACAGTTTTTGTGGAAGATGGAAAGTTTTTTAGATGTGAAAACTCAGAAAATAATTATGTGGGTTTTTTACTACTGCTTGTACTGAAGTGGAAGGACCTGTTTCATGGTCTGGCTTATGTGTCTTCTGAAACATTATCTCTAAGCTGTTCCTTGTTCTGTAGATCTCTTAAAAAACAACTGGTAAACCGCTCTGTGGTTTTGAGCAACAATTCAATTTTTAGTCAGTTCGGTTCTTTGTATGTTGTATTTGGTTACTTTTTCATGGCCAGTGAAAGCAGCTGTGTTTAATGAGCTAGAACAAAAGTAGATCAATAAAATATACTTCATATGTACATGATTAACAGTCTTACAACTATAAAACAAAATTCACTTAGGATTGGGAATGAGATCCATGTTCAAAAGATGCTGCTTTAAAAATACTTTTGATAAAATCAAGGCAATAAAATAATACTGACCTTTCATCTGAAACCATATACAAATATACATTATTATTTTAGGATTTGGCTGAAAGTGTGTCTTCTTGAAGCTATACTCAAGTCCATACAGCCTAGATAAAGTTTCAAATTAATTTCTGTAGCAGTGATACCTATATCTTCTGCTTTACAAGTATATCTAGATATCTATACTTCTGCTTTACAAGTGTCAAAGGTTTGAAAGCTAAGCAGTGCCTAACAATTGTTTAAAATACTAAGAAGGGTTTGGGTAATAAACCTAATTTTAAGTTATTTCATTTTAATGTTAGACAAATATTATTAATGTCTGTGCCTGTGTACACAGGGAACTGCATGTGAGCAGTTACCCTGTATATTATTTGTTAATAATGAAGATGGAGAAATGTAAAGGTCATGCAGATGACAATAATTTTCTCACTATGTTTCCACAAAATCTTGTCATATCTGTCAGTGCAATAACAATGTATTTGAGAACAAAATTTGCATTGAACTGTAAAGTTTTTTATTAATATAATTTAAATTCTCATATTTGTTCTTTCATGATGTATTTGTTCTTTGTATTAGAAAGCATTGCTTAGATACAGTATTAGAAAAAGATTTTGACTACCATATGATAACAAGGAAGGTGAATAATGCTTTTTATGCTTGATTATGCTCCAGTTGTAAAGTTATAAAATTATTGAGTTTTCCCTCTGGGATTTCAGTGTGCCCAAAATTAAAAAAAAAAATCCTCCTTTGTAGAAGTGTCTCCCAGCCTGTTAGGGAAGTAGGGAGTTGGTGTCAGGGATTCATGGGAATGTTTGGCATTAGAGAAAGACACAGTTAGGGAGATTAGACTGGAAGTTAGGACGGCTCCATATAGAAGTTAATATAAGCATGTTCATTATGCATCTGTCAGGAATCGGCTCTCCACTGGAGTGTTTGTAATGTTTGGAAGTAGTTAGCTTTTTCTAGTCCAAGATTTACAGAAGGACAGGAGTGGCAGCCATGAGCTGCTCCAGCATTTCAGTGTTCTAGACGATCATAGAATCACAGAATTGTTTGTGTTGGAAGGGACCTCTAAAGGTCATCTAGTCTGCAATGAGCAGAGACATCTTCAACTAGATCAGGTTGCCCAGAGCCCCATCTAAGCAGTTCTTGAGTGTTTCTGGGAGTGGGACATCTGCCACCTGTATCGTGATGTACAATGCATATTCAACATACTTGACCAGCATTAGTTAGCAATATTCACAGCTGGAACAAGATTACATTGTCAGGGAAATTATATTATGTGATTTTAATTAACTGTAATGAGTGTACTCTTCCCACAGAATTTTAATCAGTATCCCCTTCTGTTGAACAAGACCAAATGGTTTAAAGCTTTGAATATTTCTTCTGTGTGTCAATACCCATGTTAAAAAAAAAAAATCTCTTTGGTATTTGTGTTTTGCATACTTTTGTTTTATATTAATCAGTGGAACTGCCTTTTCCTTAGGTGTTGATCTCCAGGTTTGTACTTCTAAAAATTCAACATGCTGTACAAAAAAAATGGAAGAAAGGTATCAGATTGCAGCAAAGCAAGATATACAGCAAGTGCTTCAAACATCAAGTGCTACATTAAAATTTTTAATATCTCATAACGCAGCTGCTTTTCAAGGTAAAACTTTCTGCTTTTTGTTTCCAAACTTGTTCATACTTTTATTATTTATTTCATCTTTTATTATTTATGATGTAATAAAAGTTATCTGTTAATTTTTAGCTCCTCCCTATGCTTTTATGCTTTCAAATAAGTAGTACTAAATCATGCATGTGATTAGAAACTGCATTGCTTTTGGAATTTGTGGCTTTTAAAAATTATATTTGATAAAAAGTAAGAAAACATTCTTGTAAGATGCTTTGAATTTAATTGTAAACCTGTAACTTCACATTCTTTTTAACTTCCTTAACTTGGGGCATACTAAAATGCCCAAGTTTATTAATGCCTGGAGTGCTACAAAAGAGAGCTTTTTTTTTATACCACTGTTTCCACCCACTATATTCTTTGTCTTTTTCTAGTAGACATTCTTTGGTAGTTTGATTTTGAGATTTTGAGATTCTTTTTTCAGTTCTAGTTTTTCAGACTCTTGAGTTTCTAAATATGATTGAAAAAATAATTGCATGTTGAACCATAGTTGTTTTAATAAATGACAGGAGGTTACCTGATAAGTAATAGTTATTTGGACTGGTGGTGGGGTTTCCTTTTTGCTTCGTATACTGTTAGTTTCTTTTTGATTTAATTAGCCAGAAGTTAATGCAGAAATTGGTTAAGGAGCTGAGAAGATGTGAAAATAGCGATATGAGGTTGTATGTGATGGAAGGAGATACAGAGTTTATATGTATTGAGGACAAAGCCCTAAAGTCTTGTCATTCATCTGTTAGTATGTACTTACTAACCTTTATGGCGCTTTATTGGAAATGATAACATGGTAACTTCATACAGGCTCGGGAAGTTGTCCTTCTGGCAATTCTTTTGTTTTTAACCTCTGATGCTGAAATAATTAGCAGAAGGGGGTCCGAAAATGCAAAGCTGACTTTGGAGTCCTAAAGCCTCCTCTTTTTCTTTTTTTTTTTTTTTTTTTTTTTTTTTTTTTTTTCTTTTTTTTTTTGGCTGTCTAATGCTAAAATCAAGCTGGAGTTGCAAGTTGCTCTCCACCTTTTGGGACTTTTGCCATTTAGCTGCCTAACACAGCTGTCAAAAGGTGTAACAGTCAGGGAATCATTGATATAATGTACAGAGAAATCTTTCCATATCTTTTCTGCCTTCGTTCTTCCTTTCAAATTCTGTGTATTATCTTTTTCTTGCTACCGTAAGAGTTAGCCTAGAGTTTGGTACATATTATAATATTTTAAATTTGGTCTGCTGTCTTTAGTCCATCATTTGCATTTAAAAAATACTTTTCAAAGCATATACTTAAAAGTGAAATCTATTTTATATATCTTATACACTTCACATATTTTTGAAGTACATGCTTTAGTCTATAATAGTTTTGTCTTTCTTTTTATGTAAAGAAGTATAACAGAGAGAATGTTGCATGGATTCTAGTATTATTTGGATTTAAAACCTTGTTTAACTTTGAAGTAATCCTTTCTGAAAAAGCATGCTATTGAATATACTGCTAATGTTTGAAGAATTGCAACCATTGCTAACTAAAATTGAAGCTAAATGATTTCTGATTCAGAAACAATAGTAAGATGCTGCTGATGTTTTTTCAGCTTGGAATTCTAGGTACATAGTAAGATGTTCTATCTGATCTGAATTCAGTTTTGACCCTGCTTTGAGGAGGACTTTGGGCTGGACACTTCTTTAAGGTCCTTTCAATCTGAATTACAGTATGAGAGGGTGCCTATCTCACCACCAAATGTTTAGGCATGCCTTTTACATTTAGACAAGGCTGGGCTGGGCAGATAGGAATGTAATTATCTCTTCTGCTACTTTGGCAATTGGACAGACATCTCAGGAGTCCCACAGAAAGCTTGAAGGGGATTGTTGGGGTGTGTAGAGAATGGAGCAGATGTCATGGATTTTGTCACTGCTGTCACCTGCCTCTTCTCAAAGTATGTTGAGGTTGGCTTTAAAGGGGTGGACAGATCCCAACAGAACAAATAGCTATTTTTTTCTCAATTTCTTATATATTCAGTAGAGAGAAGTCGGCAGTTAAAATAAGTGATCTGTCTGACTCTGGAGGTCCTCAGAGGTGTGTTTCTATTCAGCATTAAATACAGTCTAGAGATCCTGAATCTCCACGGTGTCTAACTACCAGGGACTTTATGGTGACTGTCTTGGTGAAATGAGGCACTGTCTGTCTATCTGTCTATTAACTTGTCACATGTGTGCATGTGTCTTTATGTAAGAGTAAATTAATCCGTATATATCAACATATCTTTGTCACCTTCTAATGTTTGTGAAAATTCTGTGGTTCTGTACTGTGGTAAGTGCTGCCGCCTGATGGTGACTATTGGCAATTTTCAAACGATTCAAAAATTCCATGCCTCTTAGGACATGTCAAGCTACGTGGTGCAGATTGCACCACTTGTGTACTGGGTACTACTGAGTACTGAGTACTGATAGATTTTTCCTTATGTTTCAGGGTGTTTCAGAATGTGTGTTTTCTTTTTTGTCGTGCATCTTCTATTTCTTTTTTAATAGCTTTGAGGAATGGTAAGGGAACAGAAGGATGGGCGGCAATGAAGTTAAATAAGGTATTAATCCAGTAAGTGGGAGATACATTATGGAGAGCAACAATCATTTTTCCCTTGGGAAAGGTGACTAGAGAACTTAAGCTGTATGATAATTTTGTTTCAAGACAATACTTTTGATAGGATAACATTATTGCACATTTCTGATTTTTAGTATTTCTTATCTTAATATTTGAGGAATAGATTGTTGCTGCTGTACAGGGATTGCTATAACATCTCCATTCTGGTAACCATAAACCCAAATCCTTTTTAAACCTTACATTTGCATGACATAGACATATCTCAATATGTACACACTCATTTTGTACAGTTCTTAGATACTACTCAAAGTTCACACTGACCTTTGTCTATACCTGTACTCAAAAGATTAACAAGTGCCACCAGGGTTACAGTGTAGTCACGTTGCAGTGCTGGCTTTTGTGTAGAGAAAAAAAGAAATCCCTACAATTTCTGAAATTTGGAGAGGAATTGAATAGGCATTTAAGAATCTGGTGAACTACAGTAGGAGGGAGTGCTGTGCAACAGAATAGCAGATCTTGTGTCGCTTCACTATTTTTCCACAAGAGAGCTCATAACCCTTTTAAAAGTGGCCATGTGTGACATAGAACAAGATAACAGCTTGTCTGGTTGAAAGAGAAGTTTAGAGATAAGAATTTAGTTGTGGAGTCTTAAAGCAAATGGACTTTTCTTTGTGCTACTATATTTGGCACCTCTAGTAGTATGGCATAGTTTTCATAAATATGGAAGCATCAATCATTTCTGAATGAGGCTGCCTGTCACTGAAACAGAGGACTTGGCAAATGTGTCTCTGTATGCAGTAGGTAATAAACTGCACTCTTCAATAGAGCATTACCTGACTCTTCCTACTGTGTAGGAAAAATTTAATGCCTTTGCCATGTAAGTCCTGAAGTCTGTTGAATCAGGCTTTCTTGATGCAGTTTCATGCTTTTCTATGAAATTATTGATATACCGTAGATCAATTTCCACTTTATCTTAGAGCATAATTAAATGAAGTAAAATTGTTGCATCATATTGTTTGAGATCACAGTACAATTATTACATTTAAATAGGAAAAAGTTTTAGTCAGTAGCTAAAGTAAATTGTGTGAACTGGAAAATGGGTTGAAATCTTCTGAGCTGCTTTCTCTGGTAATCTATAAGAAATAATGGAATTTCTGTTCATCTTTGTGAAACTAAACGTGCCCTGGCACTAATTCAATTGCTTTCCACTTGTGAAATTTTCTGAAGAATGATTTGAAGATCAGAAGACTTCCAGCTAGAGCTTCTATATCTCTTATGGTTTCAAATGATATGTTGCCTGTCAGATCATTTGCAATACAAACTGCTTTGATGTTCTAACATTTTCTTCTTTCACATTTCCATAATCCTTTATATTTTAAGTGTGATATAAATAAGCCTAAATCTTAATACTGGTGAATCCCACTTCTTTTAATTAAATGAAATTTAGGGATTTTATTAAAAGACAAAAATGTGGACAGGTTGAGAGATTCCATTTGTCACTCTGTTATATTGAGGGATGAGAGTCTCAAAAATACCTGTGGGTCACCAGAGTTACGTTCCTCTTTCTCGATTGCTCTGCAGCCCTTCCCCACAGCTATGATCATGCTTCCCTCTGGACTGAAAAAGTAGGGAATTTTAATAGCACAGAAGAATCATTGTACCCACGGATTGGTCTAAGGAACAAAGCTGTTATACAGCCTTTATTCTTCAGGAACCATCTATTCATATGGTACTTTGAGTCCTTTATAATAAAGAAACAGGATAAACATTATGCTAAGATAACTTAGATTTGGACCCAGTATGTCTGTAATACATAAAACAGAGCACTAAAGGACTGCTATAAGTGCAGAAATGTAGAGATTTAGATTAATACCTAAAATTTCATTATTAATCCTGAGTTTTATTTCTGTATTGCAAGTAAGTCTTTTATCATTCTAAAGAAGTTTGGTTCTACTCTATCTCATTCTTATCTTCTCGCCTATATGTGGGCGCTCCTGGAGTATAAGTATGTATCTATAAATGCACAGGGATTTAATGGGCTTCTGTAACAGTTTTCACCACATCAATCTTTTCTTAAATTGTTCTTTTCAAGTGTGCGCTTGTGCTCCTGTATTCTAGTCTCAGCCTGTTCGTTTACCATCAATTATTTCTTCTAGTTACAGTAGTGTCTGAGTTACAATTAAGCTGATGTCAGTGCACTGTTCAGTCTCATACTCCGTGAGTACTAAGATTTTATTTCATATTTTTGTTTAGTACCCAGCAAACTACTATTTTGGTTTATGTTTCTGTAACACCGTGATCAGTACACACATATGCTAATTTAGATTTATTTTATGCTTTATGTAGTTCTTATGCATTTGAAAAAGGAAGTGAAGTACAGATTTAAAGCATCATTCCCTTG